GCCTTAGCCGCTTGAGCCATGGGCGCCGAGCCTGAGCCAAGGAGTTTGAGTTTTCTGTGAACTGTGATGCCACGGCACTCTACCAGGGGTGACAAAGTGAGACTCTGTCTCAAAAAAAAAAAAAATCTGAAAAATAATCATCTTGAACTGTTTTTTTGTTTTCTGAAACATAGTCTCACTCTGTTACCCTGGGTAGAGTGCCATGGCATCAGCCCTGCTTCCTGCAATCTTAAACTCCTGGGTTCAAGTGATCCTTTTGCATCTCTAGCTGGGAATGTAGATGCCCAAAATGACACCCAGCTAGTTTCTCTTTTTTTATTTTGAGACAGAGTCTCACTAAGTTGCCCTCAGTAGAGTGCTATACTCACAGGACAGCAACTTGAGGTTGCTCACAGTTCACAGCAACCTCAAACTCTTGGTCTTAAGCGATTCTCCTGCCTCAGCCTCTCAAGTACTACAGGCACCTGCCTCAACACCTGGCTATTTTTTTGTTGTGATTGTCATTGTTTGGCAACCCTGGGCTGGGTTCAAACCTACCAGCTCCAGTGTACTTGGCTGGCACCCTAGCCACTGAGATACAGGTGCTGAACCTAGTTTTTCTTTTTTGAGACAGAGTCTTACTTTGTCACCCTCAGTAGAGTGCTGTACCATCATAGCTCACAGCAATCTCTAACTCTTGGGCTCAGGCGATTCTGTTGCCTTAGCTTCCCATGTAGTTAGGACTACTGGCCCCTGCCATAATGCCTAGATTTTTTTTTTTTTTTAAGAGACAGGGTCTCACTCTAGCTCAGGTTGGTCTTGAACCTGTAAACTTAGGGCAATCCACCCTCCTCAGCCTCCCAGCGTGCTAGGATTACAGGTGTGAGCCACTACGACTGGCCTAGCTAGTTTTTCTATTTTTAGTAGAGACATGGTCTCCCTCTTGCTCAGGCTGGTCTAGAACGCCTAGGCTCAAGCGATCTCCTGCTTCAGCTTTCTAAATTGGTAGGATTATAGGTGTGAGCTGTTGTACCCAGTTTCATTTTGTGTTTGTTTGTTTGTTTGTTGTTGTTGTTGTTTGAGACAGACTCTTACTTTGTCGCCCTTGGGGTCATAGCTCACAGCAACCTCAGCCTCTGGGGCTCATGCCATTCTCTTGTGTCAGCCTTTTTGGGTTTAAAAATACTTTCCTGGGCTCAGTGCCCATAGCTCATTGGTTAGGGTGCCAGCCACATACACCGAGGCTGGTGGGTTTGAATCTGTCCTGGGCCTGCTAAACTACAATGCCAACTACAACAAAAAAATAGCCAGGTGTTTTGGTGGGCACCTGTAGTCCCAGCTACTTGGCAGGCTGAGGCAAGAGAATTGCTTAAGCCCAAGAGTCTGAGGTGGCTGTGAGCTGTGATGCTATGGCACTCTACTGAGGGCAACATACTTAGACTCTGTCTCAAATAAATAAATAAATAAATTAATTAATTAAAAAAACTTTTCCTGGCTAGGCACGTAAGTTCATGCCTATAATCCCAGCACGTGGGAAACTGAGGCAAGTGGATTGCCTGAGCTTACAAGTTCAAGACCAACCAGAGTGACAGTGAGACTCTGTCTCCAAAAAATAGCCAGGTGTGTGGTCGGCACCTGTACTCCTAGCTACTTGGGAGGTTGAGGCAAGATGATCGCTTAAACCCAAGAGTTTGAAGTTGCTATGAACTGTGACGCCATGGCATTCTACTGAGGGCAACAAAGTGAGACTTTGTCAGGCAGCACCTGTGGCTCAGTGGGTGGGGCGCTGGCCCCATATGCCAAAGATGGCAGGTTAAAACCCAGCCCCGGCCAACTTCGACAAAAAAAATAGCCGGACTTTGTGATGGGCGCCTGTAGTCCCAGCTACTCTGGAGGCTGAGGCAAGAGAATCGCCTAAGCCCAGGAGTTGGAAGTTGCTGTGAGCTGTGTGACGCCATGGCAGTTGACCGAGGGTGATAAAGTGAGACTCTTGTTTCAAACAAAATAAGTTTCCTGGCTCGGCGCCTGTGGCTCAAGTGGCTAAGGCGCCAGCCACATACACGTAAGGTGGCGGGTTCGAATCCAGCTGGGGCCTGCCAAACAACAATGACGGCTGCAACCAAAAAATGGCCGGGCGTTGTGGCGGGCGCCTGGGGTCCCAGCGACTTGGGAGGCGGAGGCAGGAGACTCGCTTGAGCCCAGGAGTTGGAGGTTGCTGTGAGCTGTGAGGCCACGGCACTCTACTCAGGGGGATAGCTTGAGGCTCTGTCTCGAAGAAAAAAAAAGAAAAAGTTTCCTGGTCATGCACAGTGGTAGCTCACACCTATAATCTTAGTGCTCTGGGAGGCCAAGGCAAGTTGATTGCCTGAGCTTAGCAGTTTGAGATCAGCCTGACCTAGAGCCAGACTCTGTCACTAAAAATAGCTGGACATTGTGGTGGACACTTGTAGTCCCAGCTACTTGAGAGGCTGAGGTGGGAGGATTGGTTGATCCCAAGAGTCTGAGGTCGCTATGAACTATGACACCATGGCACTGTACCAAGTGTGATGAAGCCAGACTCTGCCTCAACAAAAAAAAAAAAGGCTATTGAGGCTAGTGTCTGGGCCTTGGAGCATCAGCTGTTTCATTTCACTCACTGTGCCTGACTCTGCCTTTTGCTCCATGTTGGCTCAGAGGAGAGGAGACGGAGGGAGCGTGAAGACCAGATGTACCGGGAGCGGCTGCGCACCCTGTTCGTCATCGCAGTTGTCATGAGTCTGCTGAACTCTCTCAGCACCAGCGGGGGCAACATCTCCTGGAGTGACTTTGTCAACGAGATGCTGGCCAAGGGCGAGGTGCAACGGGTACAGGTGGTGCCCGAGAGCGACGTGGTGGAAGTCTACCTGCATCCCGGGGCCGTGGTGTTTGGACGGCCTGTGAGTTGGGGCCTAGATGCGGGCACCAGGTGCTGTGGCTATTGCTGCACAGAGACCTGGGGATTTGGTCACATTCCTTTTCCTTTTAGTCCTCACTCCTGTTTATTTGGTTGTCTTAAAACAAGATGTGAGTATTGAGAACTTTAAAGTTGCGTTCATGGAAAGGGTTTGAGCTGTGGCTCACCAAGATGGAGATGAAGGAAGATGGTCACTGTGGAGGGTACTGAGGGGCGCGTTGACACATGCTCCCAGACAGACTAGCAGGGTCCTCATCTGTGGGAACGATGCACAGAGGAGAAGGTGGAGTGAGGGACAGACTGGCTGGGAGGTGACTGGCATGAGGTATGAAGGAGATGAGCCCTGCAGCCCTGAGGTGAAGGTAGGGGTGTGCCACACACATTCATAGGAGCCCGGGGAGCCAGGAGTTAGTTGAGTGGAAGCTTCCCACAAAATGTTCAAAACTTAGCCCTGAAGGTGGAGTGACCTCTCCCTCATGGCAGAGCCCTTTGTGCAGCCTGGCCCTGGTTTCTGGACAGAGCAGATTGGCCAGGCAGACGCTCCTCCTGCCTGAGCGCTCGGCTGAGGGTACAGCCCTGCCCTGTGGGCTCTGTTGAGGGCAGCTCTGAAACCCGTGGTTCACAGCTATTGTTTCTTATGATTTAGTAGGGAGGGGAAGGTAGGGTCAGCATGTCCTGAAACAGTGAGGTACAATTCCCATGGGCCACAGAGATGGGAGGGGGGTGACCAAAGCCTCACCTGGGGATGGAGCTCAGCAGCTTGGGTGTGCAGCAAGGGCTGCAGGGGCAGCAGCTGCATCAGGCCCAAGTGAGCAGAGGAGCTTGGCAGAGGGTGTGGAGTCGGAATCAGCTTCTGGACCTTGGCGTAGAAAGAGGGTGATTTCTGCACTTTCATTTCTATGCCAGCTGGTGGTGGCTGCATGTTTGAATGGTCTGAGGCATTAAAAAAGTCTACTGGAAGCATTTGGTGTTTGTTGGGTTAATCTAACAGCTGAAACCATGGGGTGTGCAGCCAGCAGAGCAGTGGCCTCCTTGGGGACTGGTGGGTCTGTCTCCCTGAAGCCTCTTCAGGCTGCTCTCATGACACTCGTTCTGTGAAGGATCTTCTGAGACCAGTCAGGATTGGGGAAATCTGGTAGTTTAATGTAGGTTCCAGGGGTGTTTAGAGTCTGAGCCTTGAATAATTCAACCCTGGAAGTATGTAGACCAGGCTGTCAGAAAAAGGGTCTTGAGCTCAGTGCCCAAAGCTCAGTGGTTACAGCACCAGCCACATACACCAAGGCTGGCGGGTCCCTAAACAATGACAAGTGCAACAACAAAAATAGCCAAGTGTTGTGGTGGGTACCTGTACGCCCAGCTACTTGGGAGGCTGAGGCAAGAGAATCGCTTAAGCCCAAGAGTTTGAGGTTGCTATGAGCTGTGACACCACCGCACTCTACTGTGGGTGACGTAGTGAGACTGTCTCAAAAAAAAAGAAAAAAGGTCTTGGGTCAGTGTAATCCTCATTAGCTGTGGAAGTAATTAGGATCTCCTCAGTTCAGTTTTTGCCCCTTACATGGGTTATTGGGGTGCTTTGTCTTTTTTAAAAAACTTCTAATTATTTTATTTATTCATTTGAATCAGAATCTCTTGCGCAGGCTCGAGTGCTGTGGCCTCAGCATAGCTCACAGCAACTTCACACTCCTGGACTCAAGCTCCTGCTACAGCCACACACCGCAGTGCCAGGGTGATCTTTCTATTTTTAGTAGAAACAGAGTAGAGGAGTAGAGTCTCACTCTTGCTCAGGCTTGTCTCAAACTCCTGAGCTCAGGTGATCCTCCTGCTTCCGTTTCCCAGTGTCCTGGGATGACAGGTGTGAGCCACTGCACCATCCGGAGGAAGTTTCCTAAGAGACTCTAGCTGCAGCACAGTGAGTGGTGGATGTTGGTGACAGCATCACCCTCCAGGATCCACAGGGGACGTGCTGACTCACCCTGGACCCCACTTCCTGGTCAGCATGGGCACCTGCTCAGAGTGCTACGCAGGCCTCGGAGGTCAGTCTGCCTTGTTCTTATTTTTTTTTTTTTTTTTTTTGAGACAGAGTCTCACTGTGTTGCCCTTAGGAGGGTGTGTGGCATCACAGCTCACAGCAACCTCAAACTCTTGGGCTTAAGCAATTCTCTTGCCTTAGCCTACCAAGTAGCTGGGACTGCAGGCACCCACCACAATGCCTAATTACAATTTTTTTGTTGTAGTTGTTGTTGTTTAACTGGCCTAGGCTGGGTTCGAACCTGCCATCCTTGGTGTATGTGGCTGGTGCCATAACCACTGAGCTATGGCCGCCGAGTTATCTGCCTTGTTCTTCTCACGCTTTCTTAGGCAGGGCCTGTGGACACTGCTCAGAGCTCCCTTCCTACATGTAGAGAGGAGCCCAGGCAGCCTGAGGCTGCCACATGCAGGCGCTTGGCTGGTCCCTACCGTCTCTCTAGCTGCCCCGACATATACTTAGGAACTCCTCACTTTCTCTTCTCCACTTGGTTTTCAGCTGACATACCTGGCTTCATTTTGCTGTCCCTTGTCAGAATTAAGCAGAGGCTAAAAGTTCTCCTGTCTCTCCAGTGCCTTAATCAAGAATACTGGCTGTCAGCCAGGCTTGGTGGCTCACACCTGTAATCCTAAGAGGTTGAGGTGGGGGGATTGCTGCAAGAGTGAGACCCTGTCTCTACTAAAAATAGAAAAACTAGCCAGGCATTGTAGCGGCACCTGTAGTCCCAGCTACTGGAGAGGGGGAGGCTGAGGCAGGAGGATGGTTTGAGTTTGAGGTTTGTCGTGAGCTGTAATGATGCTAGGGCACTCTAGTCTCGGTGACAGAGTGAGTCTTTATATCAAAAACTAAATACATCTGGCTCTGCGCCTGTGGCTCAATTGGCTAAGGCGCCAGCCACATATACCTGAGCTAGTGGGTTCGAATCCAGTCCAGGCCTGCCAAACAACAATGATGGCTGCAACCAAAAAATAGCCCGGTGTTGTGGCGGGTGCCTTATAGTCCCAGCTACTTGGCAGCCAGAGGCAGGAGAATCACCTAAGCCCAGGAGTTGGAGGTTGCTATGAGCTGTGATGCCATGGTACTCTACCCAGGGTGACAGCTTAAGGCTCCGTCTCAAAAAAACCCCAAACTAGATACATCTGTTGGAAAGTAAATGTATTGGCTCGGCTCAAGTGGCTAAGGCGCCAGCCACATACCCTGAGGTGGTGGGTTCAAATCTAACCTGGGCCCACCAAACAACAATGATGGCTGTAACCAAAAAATAGCTCGGCGTTGTGGCGGG